CCCTCCTCCGCGCTCCCGGGTGACGGCAGGGGAGGGGGCGTTTTGGAAGAGCTCTTGACTTCGCAACACCCAGCCCCTGCCCAGCTGGCTTTCCCTTGGTTATGTTGGTGCCACCATCCGTATACCCGCACCACGGACACGACTTGCCTCGTCCCTCGGTCACGGCGCAGCCGAGCAGCACCGTCCGTCCCGGAGGTTAGGGAAGGTGTTGCCGGAGGGCGCCCGATGCTCCGGCGGTGGCGGGGCCCAAACGTGGAAGTGGCCTCCCTCCCAACCTGTCTAGCGAATGGAGGAGTATGTAGCACAGCCTTTGTAAGGTCGACATTTGTTTGTTGTTAAGAATCTAATTAGAAACATGAGAGGGAGCTGAATGGCTGCTTGCTCGGCTAATTAGCGACATGCACGAAGCCCACTTTGAACTTCAAGGACACCAAGCTATTAGCGCGTACATCAAAAATGGATTAAACTTCTGTGCTTTTATAATGATTAAAGATGAGCCGCTCGAGTGGAGATCCTTTTGTAAGGGCTGTGACAAGAGCCGGCTCCCTGATCGTGGCGGCTACGAGCGAGGCTTCGCGCGGCCTCCGTGTCGCGCTCCGGCCCCCGCGCGCGAGTGACACCATTAACTTGCAATATGGAAAATGGGATGAGGCAATAAAGACTGATGGTTCGCCAAAAAGAATCGCAGCGAAGCTGAGCGATGCGTTCGTCTGTCGTGGAGGAGACGGGGCCCGTGGAGATGTACAGCTTTCGGGCAGCACCGAGGCGGGAGGCAGGCTCGCTACAGTACCGCTTCTGCACAGCTGCTGCAGGAAGCTTTATGCCGTGCCCCAAGGCATTTCTCTCTCTCCTTCCTAAGCACTTGGGTTTCGGAACCCTGGATGTAAATGCAGTCGGGACTGCAGCGCCCCGACTCTCGGTTTGCATTATATAGTGGACAGGCGGGGACAGCCACGTTGTAGCTGGAGCCCCGCACACAGTTGCAGCGGTTTGGGTCATTCAAAAGCATGGGTTTGAGCCGTGCAGGGGTTTTGGGTCATTCAAAAGTGTGGGTTTGAGCCATGCAGGGGTTCGGATCATTCAAAAGCGTGGGTGTGAGCCGTGTCGGGGCTTGTTGCTGTTAGTGGAAGTGAGGTCAGTCATTCGTGCAAGCCATAGTGTGGACAGGAGCGCCTTGTGTGACGCTGCTCGCTCCAGTCGTGACTGCCAGGCTGAGGGTACTTCGCATCACCCGCTGCTTTCTGTTGTTATCCGAGCAATAGTGTGATGTGCAAAGCCATTTCCAGAGGGACGGCGGAGACAGAACAGCCTTTTGAAGAGCAGTGGCAGGCAGAAAAATAGCATACCTTGTTACCGCAGATACCTGCTCGCAGTGCCTGTTGGGTGCGTGGCTACTCACTGTGCTGACGAACTCCAGGCCACGTTAGTGCCAGGCGAAGAGCCCTGCGGAGGAGAGACAGCTGCATGTCACGGCCTCGTGCCTCGCCCGTGGATCCGTGGTCGCCAGGCCCCATGGGGGCGGTGATGTACGAAGCAGAAAGAATACGGCTTGATTTTTCCAGGGGGCAAGTCTGAGCTGGCTGGTGGGAAACGGTCTCTGGTTTTGAATTATAAGCAAGGGAGCTCTGTTTGCTGCTGGGCTCCGGTAGGAGAGGGTACTTAGGATGCCTTATTTCCCTCCGCCTCCTCTACGACTTGTACATCTCCCCCTGAGACGTGTGACATCGAAACAATGGTCGTAGCATTCGGCAAACGATTCGGGCTTCTGGAATCGCTCGACTTCCGCGTCTTCTCCCGGGCTCTTTGTAAGAGGCGCTGTCCGCTGTGCCCGTGCAGCACCGTCTTGCTGCCCTTGGTCCCTTCTGGAAAACACTCGTGTGCGCAGGGAGGGAAACTCGGGCTTTTTTTATTGCTTCTTCTGCCTGCTCGCAGTAGCAGCGCTCCAGAGGCCTGTCGGCACGTCGTGCAGGGGTTAAAAGCGAGCTTGATTGTGTTTGCCCCACTGCTGTAAGAAGTCGGAGAGGCGGTATCCTCTAAGGCCCCGAACATAGGACCAGCGAGCAAGGGCACCTGCATCTCCGCCACTGTCTTGCCTACGTGGCCTCAGGCAAGTTCCATGTCAGTGGTGGCAGGGGACCAGCCCGCGCTCACTTCAGTGACGGGTGTGAATGCCCAGCTCCTCTGAAAACTATGTTGGCCTGGAAAATGGGGGAAATCATACTAATAATGCTCACAAGGAGGGGTGGAGATATGAAATTATTTGATGTTTGTACAGCATGCTGAAGTGTACTGTGCTCATCTTAGTGTCTTGAGGCAGGAGAACTAATTACCCTGTATCTTCGCATCTGTGAGTGGAGATGCCACCCTCTCAACGCCTCCCGCGGCTCCACCTGCAGCATTTGCTCCTCTACCTCTACTTAACCCTCTGTATCGTGAAAGCATTGTGCAAATACTAATGGAGGCCTCCAGCCTCGTAAGGGAGGGAAGCGCCTTCTGCTCCTTGCGGCACTATGTGCACGGCAGCATGAGACCTGAACTTGCACACACGTGTGCGAGTACCTAGAGCAATGGGTGGTTCAGGTTGTCCCCCTGCAAAGGCAGGGGACTCCTAGATGACCTCCTGAGGTCCCTCCCAACCCTGACTTTCTATGATCTATGCCTCGGTGATGTCCAAAAACTACCTTTATCTTCGGTCTCTCAAGTTGGCACCAAAAAACGGCAGCCCCATAACCATCAGCCGCCTTTGAAAATGTAGGATGTCCGTGTATCACTCTATGCTGCCTGTGCCAGCCATAAATATATGTGCATATGTATATATGTATGTATATATATACCCCAAATGGAGGGGTAAGACCCTCCAGCCAGGAACCTCTGGGCTCAAGTCCCAGCAGGACCTAATATATAATAAAACATGCCATCTGTGCACCTAAACCCAAGCAACTATGAGACATGGCATCCAAGTGAACCCCAGATTAGCTGATTTGTGGAGCAGCCTTCCCTCCCACCAAAATAGCCTCCAAGTTTATGAAAGTTTGGCTCTAGATCCTGTTGCAGCTTGGGCCCCTGCCCCCCAAACCACAAACAAAAGAATTGGGTTGCCCGACGAGTCGCCCATTGGCATCTTCCGGTGGCTCCCGCTTGCCTCCGGGGCTGTGCCATCCGGCGTTACCCCTCCCCAGCTCATCGCTGCCAGCTCCGACCGCGTTAAGAGCTTCTTGCCGAACGGCATCTCCCTGACGTGCCTGTCGCCCTGTGTTGTTCCAGCCTCCACTGACATCTGTACCGGCAACGTTAAACGCTTACCCCTTTTGAGCAAGAACAGGAGCTGTTTTGCAGCGTGTCGTATGAATTTTTCATAACGAACTGAAGCAGCCTAATCTTGCGAGCCCTAAGTCACAGCAGCGGGTAATGGCTTTGATTTAAGGCGTTTTGTCTTAATGATCGTTCCTTGGGAAATGCCCTGCTGCTTTCCAGCACGTGTAGTTGTCATCCTAAACGCGGATGGCGGCAGCGCCTGCCAAATGGCGCCTGGCTGTTTTCTTCTGGGGAGGCGGAGGGGCGAGCCGTCCGGAAATTAGAGACCGAGCTCAACAAGTTGTCGGGGAGCATGTGCAACCGCCATAGAGTAAAGCAGGAGCAAAGAGGAGCTCGGGAAAAACAAAATGTGCAAAGAGACGATGGGCGCGGGGCGAAAAAGAGCCCACGGAGCAACGGGGCCTGAAACGAGGAGGGAGATTTCAGCTGAGAAAAGACCTTTTGAGTCACAGCATGAAAAAAACCCACTCGGTTCTTCTGTGCGCTCGCGCTTTCTTTTACTCCGGGGCCAGGTTGCAATTAGCCCAGGCAGCAGTCTGTCCGGGGGTGGGGGGGGCGTTTTGCTGGTCATGAGATGGCGGAGTTTCTTGCCTTCCCTGTTTTTTCTGCACCCCCCTCTACCACCGCCTCTTCCTTCTCCTCCAACGCAGCCACTGCAAGCTCAGGTCTGCTTTTGCTTTTAGTGGTCACCAGTGATAGCTGTGAAGGAGCGGCAGGTCTGCAGGTGTTCGGCGTGTCCTCCTGCAGCAGCAGCCTGCACGTTGCAATGCAAAGAGCGAGCACATCTTCGTCCTTGCTAATTTTTTTAAATTATTATTATTATTATTTTTATTATGATTATTATTATTATTATTATTAAAGCCCATCAAATGGGCTCCTCTTGAAGGAATCAGCTCGGAGCCTGATTTATCCAGCGCACAGAAATTGTTTCCAGAGGAGCGTGTCACGATTTTCCTTCCTTTAAACGCAAGCCGCTCCCTGCTTCTCGTGTGGCACTCGAAGATACGTCTGCATTTGCTACCCGACCCCTCTATTAAAGTGAGATGCATGCTGAATGTTTAGGGGCCAGATTCGGCTTTCCGCTGCGGTCAGGCCCGTGACGTGACTCGTTCTTCTGGATTCATGCTGATGTAACTGGGAGAATCTGGCTCCGTTGATGCTGAGATAAAAAGGGTGTCTATTCTAGTGTCCTGTTGGGTGTATGCCGATGCTCGCTTTTGGGGGGAAATGCGTGCATTTCTTTGAGAAACAAAGATGTGTCCACAAATATTTTTGATGGGGGTAAGCGGGCTTGGCTAAACTACGATGAAGGTAGCTCCGGTTGGCTCAGTTCCGCTTTCAGCCATTGCTCTTGATTATGAAATGTATTTCTGACTGTCATAACTGGGATGCTGTGTTTCATGCTAAAAGAGTGTGCTCCGCTGGCAGGGGAAAGCCGGCCCATCCTCCGGCGGTGTGTCTTAAGCTTGAAGACCTCTTGCCTCTGCCCCTGCGCTGGCTTGGATAAGATGCCTGAGTTGCTCTAATCAAGTTTTGCACCGTTCTCTCTTTAAATTGCAGTGTTCTTTCTCTTATTTGTGTTAATAAAAAAGAAAAAAAAAAAAGAAAAGAAAAAAATAACGTTGAAAAGACTAATGATAAGAAACGATCCAGTATCCACAATGATAGAGTCACTGTATCTCCAGGGATCCCTGATTACGGTTTCTATTCTTCGCCCGGTGACCAACGGGCTCCGTTATCGTATGCGGACTATGGTTCCATGGGGCCTCGGGTGGCTCAGATGCTTCGTAGCGAGCACGCTGCTTCAGCAAGTAACTCCCCCCTCCACCACCTTCCCAGCCCGGATCAGTTTAAGAGCCCAGGTTTGTATAGCATTTCATTCCTTTGGGGGAAACAAAAGATGATTTTTTTTCGTCGCCTATTTAATGACGCACGAAACCGGGCCTGCATGCCAGTTCAGTCCACTACAGAACCGCACCTCAGCCCTTTAACTTGGGTCCGTGATTTTTGACTGCCGTTTTTCTACTAATCCTACAGGGTTGGATGGATGATGAAAGCCCTGCGTTCTTCAAGGGCCTCACCCAAAGCCCGGTCGAGTCGGCGGTATCCTAACGCTCGTGCTCGCCTTGCAAAGCCTGCAAATCCCTGAGCAGAGCGTTTTCAGCGGGCTTTGGATCAGGCTCTTGTTGATCCTTGAGAAAGTATAGTTGAGGTGAAGAAGTCGCCCACAGGGATTTTTTTTATCATTTTATTTTACTTTTTTATGTTAGTTTTGAGGCTTGAGTTTCTCAACCCTGTGGGGGGGGAATATTTTATGACCGAATGTTAAATGTAGACTGTATACCAAGAGAAACAGATATGCCTGTTTTATACCTCTCTAAATATTTCACCTGGTTTCTTTCTTTTTTGAAATACTATGTACCTTCGCGGTGCTTAAGAGTGTTATTTTGTCATCATGTGTAATTTACTTCCACAGTATGCAAACGCCTGCAATGGATTGATCTTAATTCTTGTATCCTGCAAAGTTTTTCATGTACAGCAGTAACCTTATACCTACATCTCTCCATTTCCTCCCCCCCCGCCCACCCCAATCTCCCTCTTCCTAGGTATTGAATTGGTTGAGTTTATTTGCGTGGCATTTCATTGCCCGACTTGGTCATGCTTTAACAAAATGCCCTCTCTTTTCCCTCCTGGAGAGGCGTTCTGAATCCACTTCAGCGTAATACACCATATGCTAAGGCAAATGTCATAATGAATCATGACTTAGAAATTTCTCAAGAGTTTATCGAAAGAGAGTTTATCTTTCAATGGTGACCTTTCGTGTTCAACACTGGATTAATTTGTGAGCAGGCTCTATGTTAACATGGCAGTTCATAGGACAAAGTACCAGATAAGCTAGCCTCAGCTCTCTCCCTGTCATCGCTCCCAGCAGAATATTTTGTAGTGTTATGAGCCTCCAACCTTCTCATATGCCTTGAGCGGCTTGGCTTCCTCGCATAAATTGGCTGTTGCTAGAAGTGCACTTTGGAAAGCAAGCTACGTGCATGTGAAGAGTCGATGAAGACGGCTCTGCTACAAAGAGCAAGGATGGTGTAATGCTGCCAAGAAGAAATATTTGGAAGTTAGCGGGATATTTTAAAAGTCTCTTACCTTTTTTATTATTGGAAAGAAAAGGCTCGTCTCTACAGACGTGCCTTACAGGGAGCGGATGTTGGAGCACGGAAACCACCGAGGACACGTAGGGAGAGAGTGTAACGACGATGAACTTGTATTTCCCTAGAGCCAAATGCGTCCCCAAGACCTTTCTATGTCACCAGCGGCGCAATGCGCTGCACCAGGCGCTCGCTGCCTGGAAAAGGACAGCAGGAAAGGCAGCCCTTTCCGGGGAATACTGGCTGCTTTTTCACAGTGCCTGGCAAAACTATGCGGCCTCGAGTTCAAGAAGGGGCAAATTATCATGGGGAACTGAAGTAAAGGGAATTGAAATCAGACAAAAGATTACTCGGGGTGAAATGTGGCCAAAATGGTTAAACTGCCCCACTATTTTGAAAAGTGTTCGGGTGGCCTTTAATGTCTGAAGGCTCCCGTTGAGTCTTTTGTGTAAGCTGGGGCTAATAGACCCAGATGTGCTCCAAGAGCTTCCTTAGTGTGCAGACCGGTTGCTCTGCTGTGCTATCGCTGTATCCAAGAGAAAGTTTGAAACCCATTTTTTAGCGCTTTTATTGCTTCCCACTGTTCGGGAGCGGCACAGAGCTTCCCAGGCTGCCTTCAGCAGGGAGTTAGAGCCGCCGTTCAATAAAACGGAGATTACATCCCTTCCTATCAAGAGGTCTCCCCTGTCCCTCTTCTCAGTTGTCAACCCCGGTGACCTCAAATTAAACAGCCCCCCCCAAAAGTCATCAATCATTTTTTTGTGATGTTTTTCTCCACAAATATTGCTGTACCTGAGCTTCGTAGAAGTTCGTGACCACCAAATTGAACCAGTTTATTCTAGGCCTGCCTATTACATTATAGACCTGTGGGGCCTTTCAAGTATCAATTCGTAGCTCAGCAAAATCCCCCCGGCCTCGGGAGTTGAACTATGACAAGAGTCGCTGTCAAATGCAGGCACCGTTAAATCTCCGAAGTCCAACGGAGGTGAGAGAGAAGGAAAGACTCCTTGGTGGTTACAAGACTCAAGGGATCTGGGATTGACTTCCTGCCCCACCAAAGTGGGTTTTGCCCTCTGGTTGCAAGGGGCTCGATGGGAAGTTCTGTCCACACGTTACCGTCAGTCTTGGCCTCCCTCCTTGCTATACCGATGTGTCGGTGAGCTCCCTTGAAAGGGCTTTTTAGCTGCTTGCTGTGTCGGACCGGGTCCTGAAGGCAGTCAGGAGGAAAGGAGCCACCCTGCGGGACTTCCCAGGTATGCACGTGTGCACGGCAGGAGGGGCGGTCTCAGGACACTCCTTTCTTTTGCACCGGGCCTACAGGGAGATTGTCCCCTGCCCACCCCAGTCTCGCCTGTCCTGCACACCTGCTTACGGGTAAGGAGGCGAAGAGCATGTTCTCCAGTCCCCGTAGACCACAAAGTAGATTAGCACCTAGTTCAGAGAAGAGACAAGAAGTCACTGCCCCCATAACAAGCCCAACAGCTAATTGGAAACAAAGCAAAGCAAGCACCGGATAAAGAAAACCCGTGCCCCAATTCCTGCCAGGTCAGTCGCATGCCTCTCCTCGACTGCCATTGCTCTAGGCCAGCGGTTCCCGACCTCCGGTATGGGTACCGCCAGTGGTACACAGGCAACCTGTCAGTGCCACACATTAACAGGCTTATTATAAATACTTTATATGGCAAAAAGGTTCAACTGAAAAAATTGCTGGTGGTACTGAAGGTTGTCACGTTTTCGGTCGGTGGTGCACAATCTATCAGAGTTCGGGAACCGCTGCTCTAGGCATTGGCTCACCCGACCCGCAAGGTAAAATAATCCCTGGAAAGGGGTGGCTGGCTGGGTCTGAAAAGACGCACCGCTTCAAGGCCTCATGCTCAGGACCCGTGGGTTTGGGCGAGATACGAATCCCAGACGTATCCAGACTTGCCTACCTCTCTTGACCCTGATCTGCTCCGATACATGCTACTAACCCCTCGAAACGCGTGTTGTGCGCGTAAAAAGCTCTTTAGGTTGGAGTGAATGAAGCTGGAAGCGTTAGACCCTCACGATGCTCTGTGCAGGAGCAATTGCTTTCCTGTGCAATTGCTGGGTCAAACCTTTTAAGACATGTTCAAAGTGAGTGGTCTGAGCAACGAGATGTCATGGGCATGATTCAGTCCCAGAAGCGGAGGAGGAGGTGACTGTGCTTACCCCGGGTAATGCCGAGGCATTAGAGAGGGTATTTCATGGTAAGCTAAACACTTGCTTTGCACAGGGGAGCTGGAGATAGAAGCCAGATAGCACGTCATTACAGCATTGCTCAGACTAGGACCCAAAAAACCCAGCATTTTGTTTCCTCCAGTGCTACCGCACAACACGGTCCCCAAGCAATATGTCAGCAAAACTCGCTTCTAACCTTTCATTTCTGTGACCCGGTACCTGCTTCTGCCCCTAAGCGGTACCTAGAGAACTGTCTTGCTTTCTTTTCAGGCAAGAGCTTTATTGCAAGGCACGGCTCTTCAATGCTTTTTGCTCCCCCATGCTAAAAACAGCAGTAGTTTGGGGCAGCTTTCTCCTTTTCCTGTGCTTGAGGTGATAATTGGAAACTTTTGAGTAAAAATATGACCTCAAAGGACCTTCATTCTCCTTTGTGGCTTGAAACCATTTTTAGGTTTTTATTGTTTTTTGCTCGGTTTTAATCTGAGAATCAAATTATTTACAGGTTTCTATTAGACCGGGCTTAAAAGAAAATACGCATTTCTTAACAAAGCACCTCACGTTTCTCTGTCTCAGAGAAGTCATTCAAGGTCCTTTTGCTGCTTTTTCAAATCTACTCTAAAAACATCTCCAGATCTCACTGAATTCAGACGCTGATATTGTAAGAGGGCAAATATTTAGCAGCTCATCATGGCTGAGTGAATCATTAAAATATGGCTTTCTGCAAAGTGTTTAGTCTCCTGGCAATTATGAGAGCTTTCCTGTTTCATTTACTCGGCCTAGAGCGAAGTGTCAGCTCTATAAAAGCTTCCAAACCCTCCTATAAAGTTTCTGCCGCCACCTACTTTGTAGGCCACGCACAAAGATGAGTCTGAACATCCTAAACCTCTGTAGTGTATTTACAAGATAATGGATCAGTGGGTGTGCTTTTGTGCGGCACATATTTCTGCAGTCAGTTCTGTGATCAGTATGTAGTATTAAATTGATGTTCAGCGGATAGAAAATTACCTTGCTCTTGTATTACATGCCCACGATCAGACGGGTGTTTGAATAAACAGTTGCCAACAAATTTTTGGATGTATGAAAACTACTGTTCCCAAGCTTTGTACAGCTGTAAATGCAGGTTGTTCCCCCCCCCCCCCCCCCCCCCCCCCCCCCCCCCCCCCCCCCCCCCCCCCCCCCCCCCCCCCCCCCCCCCAGCCCCTTTCAGCTAGATTTGAAGACGCTGATAAAGCAAATGTCGTCTTGTCATCCATGTATGAGTTTGCAGTTGCAAATTAATGATGCAGAGCTTATACTCTGGATGCTGGCGTGTATGCATATCTTATTAGTTGTGGTGGTATGATGACTTATTGCTAAATGACTTGCGCTACTACAGCTAGCAGCATGCTGACATGAGTCAGGCACGCCAGGAGGTGAAGCCGAGCGTCCTGCCATAAGCCTGGGAAATGTGGCTTTGAGACCACTTCGGTGCCCGCTGGATGTTCAGTACCTAACAGGGTATACTTCTGCCCTGTCCCATTTTCTTCTAGCTCGGCACGCAATGAAATCTTCTTCCGGTGAAGTATTAGCATCTGTTTGATGCTACCCTGTGCACAGTCTCCAAAGCAGGGTCAGCATTTGCTCAGTAAAGTATGCTTAACTTCCGCTTGCCACCGTGAACAGAGCGACGCTGTTGTGCAGTTCACTTACGTGCCGCGTCCTACTCTGCCAGGATCATCGTTTTTAATGAACAAGCAGGATCTTTCCTCCCACACCTAAGCCGCACTTCAGCGCTCCCCGGCGCAGAGACAATGCTTGATTCACCCCCGGTAGATCGCAAGAGCGCGGAAAGGCGGCCTCAGTGCAGTCCATCAGAGCCGGGGAGTCTTCGAAGCTGATTCTGCTGAGAGGTGGCTTGACTGTCCTCCTCTTCCAACAGGACTTCCATCCGGTGCAAAATCAGTACAGCTTGCCCCGCGGGCGAGGAAGATTTACACCTCACTGAGCCTCCAGCTCATAGTTTTTCCTTTCCTTGTCTCACTTCTGGTTGGGTAGTTCCTGTAGTTGCTTCTTCGGGAATCGCGGGATAAATGCATTCAGCATCAGTGTCCCGAGCGCTCCTGCCCCAGCCGTTCGCTCTTTCAAATGCATTTTCAAGTGAAACTATTTGAGTCTTTTAAACACGTCATTCCTCTTCCCTTCCCGCCGGCTCCCACCAGCCGAAGCCACACACGCAGCACGATAGAAGGCAAATACCTCCTCTCTTCTGTTGGGGGACTGTATGCGGTGCTTGCAGAAGGACACGTGCTCTGATCTGGTTGCTTCTGGCCCTACTTTCTCTTGCCTTATGGTTTTTCACAGCACAGCAGTGCTGGATCCCTGTACGGCTCGTTAGAAGCTGTCGGAGCTGTTGTTTTCTAACTGGCATAATTTAGAGCGCTGTAGCTTGCAAACAGAGGGATATGTTCATCCCAGGTTTAGTCTCCTTTAGCTTTAGTGGGTTATGCCACGGATAGATTTAGCGTGGTACGTAAACTTGTTTTAAATTAAATTTTCGGTGCGTTTCCATGTCATTTTTCCCAGTTGCTTCTTTACCACGTTGTTCCGACTTTGGGTTTTCCCAGTAGATCATGAAACGCAGGCTTCAAAAATCACCTTTCTTTTACGGTCAGGCGAATCCTGCTTGTTCAGCAGTGCACAGAGAGTCGCTAGGAGCCGCACCGTTAAGACGCAGCCCGTTCCAAACCCGTACGGCGAGTTGCCTCGTGTTGCCTTGCATAGTAATGTACACTTCGCCATCCCTCGCTTCCCCTACGCACGCACCGCAACGAAAGAAGTGGCGCTCCGGCCTTCTCCGTGTCGTGGATGCACAAGTCTGAGAGCTCTCTCAAAGCCCTGGCGCTGTTTATTATGGGGGCTCGTTAGCCGCAGCTCGTGACTTCCGGGTGACGGCAGGACTTTGGGGGCTCCTTTGTTCTTCAGTCCCGGGCGCTGTTTCCAGCTGCCTTCTGGCATGTTTTCCTGTAAGGACCGTGTGTGTCTGTCCTCCTTACCAAATGCCCTCTCCACATCGTTGTCAATTGGGCGCCCAGTAAATTTGCAGTGGCTCCCTTCCCTTCTGTGACCTGTTTGAGGCCCGGGGATTTGTTGAGATGGGCGAGCTAGGTTTTTTGTACGACTAGTCAGTAAAACCTCTGTCCATTTGCTTGAACTGGGAGAAAAAACGAGCGTGGAAGAGCGAGATAAGAAAGGGCTTTGGAATATCTCAGCTGGGTATTTTTCTTTGCGAGTGAGAAGGCCAAGAGTTATCTTGACATTTAATCCTGGATATTAAAAATGGTGCTTTGTTTGCCAGCGCACTCCAAATAATCTGTTTACTCTCTCTCCCCTTATTTCTTTTTAACTTGCTCGCCTAGATGATCTACTTACTTTCCCCTTTTACCAGTTGAGAGCCACGTTGCACCATTTCTTGTGAAAAAAGTAGTGTCGTGGCCAAGCAGTCGGTCGCCATTTGGATTTCTGCCGGCTAATTCATCCACTTGAGACGTATTTCACCCTCAGTGATGCAACGCAGTGGGGGCTTCTGGGTGGCACCAGAGATCCTGAACAAGCACGTCTTGACAGACTTAAGACACCTGAGGCAATGCTGAATGCCACATTGGCCACTGGCCGCGAAAGCGGCATCAAATTTTGGTGTAAACGGTTTTTATTTTTAATTGGAGTCCGTTCTAAAAACCCACTGTGTTCAATGCAAAGATCTTAAATGCAGTTGCCGCACTTCCTTTACTCCTGAACATTTGCCGGAGGCTCAGCCACGGGACAGGCCAAAACCCCCAACCCCGTTTCCACCCACCCAGCCTGGAGCAATGGGGGAAATACAAAGCTGTGCAGCTTGGGGCTGTCTCTAATAGCTACTTTATACTAATAATTAAGAGGTAATGAAAGGTTGGGCATGACTTCGCAGCATTTAATTTGACTTTCTGTCTGTGTCTAACTTGATAGGGCAGCCCGTGCCGTTAGTTACGAGGTTGAACCGATCTGTTCCACTGGCGGTGTAGATCAGGAATAGAAATTCCCACCTCTTTGGAGTTGATCTTGATTAAAGCCACAAACTTCCCTATCTGTCGTAGGCAGGAAAAAAAAGTAATAAGTCGTGCCAGACGACATTTCTTCTGCTGTTTTTATCCTTTCTTTATTCTTAAGCCTGAATAAGTGAAGGACCGTAACACCAACGCCGAGCAGGTCGCAGTACATGTATACGTGCTACCTTGTGCTTCGAGGGGATGTTGAGGGTTGGGCCTGACGGTGCAAACTCTCTGTGCACTTCTGTAAGGGCCTCACAAGTGACATAAGTTAGCTTTCCAACTCACAGCAAACCATTTCCATTTGAATCTTCCTAGCCTGCTAACCTTTCTTTTTTGCATTGAGGCCTTTTACTCATAAATTTTACATTCGGGAGCAATTACAAGAAATGCCAAAGACCTGATCATCTAACATGCTTTAAGATCGAAATTTCTCCTCTAACATCATTTATTATTTACATTGTTTTTCCGTCTCAAAAAAAACCAAACAAACCCAAAACACACCAAACCAACGTTAAATTTCCTTTTACTTCCACTTAAGGAGGTGAGTGTAACGATCCTACAGGATTTATTTATTTATTTATTTATTTGGTTTTGATCTTTCTTTATCATTTATTGTGGTGATGTCCCAAGTGCAGTCCTGGAGGTAGAGGTAGCTCTCTGCTCTCTGAGATCTAAATGAAGAAAAAAAAAATCTCCTTTGTAGTAGTAGTCATAAAAAAAAATTAAAAAACCCTCCAAAATGTTCCATTCCATACCATGTTAAACCCCCCCCCCCCCCCCCCCCACACCCACACACACAAAAATCAAGTGTTGAAAACCTTACGTAGCTTATAAGTAAAAGGGCAGGTTTTTCTAAAGTATCGAATGGATCCAAAATCGATTTTACTAGACATGATTTGCTTTGTTTGCTGTCAACATTTTAATATCAATATTAACACAATGTGTAGTCTAAAACTAGTTCCTTTGTAGTTTGCATGGGATGTGAATGCTGTCTCGACGTGCCCAGATCTAGAAAACTTGTTACTACTGCATGAGCATCAAATCAGATGTTGAAAAATATCTATATATTTTGTGATAATTTGGTGAAAATGAGCTCCTACAGTCTCTGGTTGCAGTAGTGTGTTGAATGATTGTTTCTATATATATTTATATATATATTTTTGGAGCTCCAAGCTTCTTAGTAGTATGGGCTGACTATTATTCAGTACTTGCTCTCCTATCGCATGGCCTTGGTTAAGTGTTAGAAGTTGGGCCTAGGCTGTTTATTCTAGTGTTTGGCTTTGTAATAACTGTGCATGCTCGGCTTCCGGCCTCATACCCAGCTTTATTCTCTGCACACCAGTCTTGAATAGCTACAGTGCTCAACCGAATTTTGGCGCACCCGCTTCCCCGGCAGGCTCCAATCCAGCCCGGCCAGGAGGATTCCCAGGGGCTAACAGCCCAGGTCCGGTCGCAGACCTCTACGGTACAGCCAGTCAGGACTCCGGTGTTGGTAATTACATAAGTGCTGCCAGCCCTCAGCCAGGCTCTGGCTTCGGCCATGGAATCGCTGTAAGTAACCGTTTCTTCCCTTTCTCCGCTTTAGTCTTTTGAATTTATCTCAGGAATATTTTTGAGGGTTGTTGTTGGGTTTTTTTCTCTTACAAATGAATCGTGCGGTGCATTGCTCACTTAGCCTTTTGCCGTTTAGTGATACTATTCTCTAGAACCTGCTGAATTTAACTAATAGACTTGTTTCAGAATTGCACACTCTGCTGCCCTGTCACTCGAATTATATTTGGAATTGAAAACGTGTGTATGACCTCTGCTCCTCCCTTATGGATTCAAGCATCTATCTATCTAGCTATCTATCTATCTATCTAGCTATTCACCCACACACCTACCTATTTACCTTAGGCATTTAAAAGTTTCCGGTAATGTTAAAATCGCTCTGTGTCCATAGAACGACCACTTTAGACCAATGCACCAAACTGCAAATAACGCACCCATCTTAAGGAAAAATGACCTTTCTGCTTATTCTCTATGAGAGTCCGATCCTACAAACACACGTGCTCCTAACCTAAAGCACACCAGTAGTTGTATTAACGCAAGCATGTGGGTAGCCCCATTGACACAGAGTGCCGCAAGTGTTCGGTGGGATTTGGGGTCTCAGTACGGCCCTGAGGAAGGGAAGTTAACTCCGCGCACTGATAACCGCAAACATGTTAGTTCATTGCTAATGCTTCTTGAAATTTGCAGGTTACAAGTAAGTCCCTAATAATTATTTCTCAAGTCAATGGAAAATATGTCTTTAATGCTGTGTGGTTCTGTAATCTAACTAATATGGGCGATGGAAATTGGCTTTAACACAACTGCATGCTGTTTTTCAGATTGGATTGTTTTAGCTGTGTGTGTTAGCATGAACGTGTCTGAAGCTGCTTACTGGCTGTGAGTCTTTGAGACAGGGAGCCAGCCACCTAAAAGTGTTGTTGGTTTTTGGATTGGGGTTTGGGTCTTTTTTTTGATGCAAAAACAATGAGAGCTCTTTTGAATTGTTTGATATTTCCTCTTAAAAATGAAAAATGTCAAAGGTAGAGGTACTTTCAGAACCTGAGAGGAATATTAAGGACTCAGGCAGACTGCTCGGAGGAGAGACCCAGTGCAGACAAAGTTCCTGAGATTACGTACATTTTATTGCTTTTTTTGTTCTGATGTTTAAAGAAAACCTTTCTGGTTGGGCCCTGGTATTTTGAAATTCTTGTTCGGTTCCATTCCCATCATAAGGTCACTTAAGTAACTTGGAAATCCCTTTGGATCAGTTGTACTATGAAATGTGGAATATTATTATTCTGCTTAGAGCGACATCAATTTAAAGTGCCATCTATCACCATTTACAACACCCCTCATTTCCATTTTTCGCCTACAGAAAAAGACCTGTTTGTTCTTGAAACTCAGGCGCTCTGACCTCTGCAATCTCCTGATTTCCAGCACTCCACCCCCACATTTGGCATCTGGCTTTGTCTGCACTAGTGTTTCTTTGAAAAAATATTGTGTATCCGACATGCTGATTTGACTGCCTCCAAATTCCTCCTCTGCCCCAATAACCTTACCAAGAACGTGGCAGCCTTTTTGTAGCTGATTTTTTTTAACATTGTCCATTGACTAACTCCTGATTTAAAAAAAAAAAAAAGAAAAATCAAACTTTATTTTTGTAAGAGGGGGAACAAGAAAATTACAGTCTTGGACAGGTAACGTGAGAGTTTAACACGTCAAACCATTAGCGACCACAGAACGGAGTTCTTTAATACATATTCATGCTGGCAACACAGTCTTTCAAGTCCTTTTGATAATTTCTTGCCAAAAATAATAATCTGTTCCCATGTATAGAGCACTGATGACCTTAACAATTGTACAATTTTAGGGACCCTTGATTGCAACGGCTTTTACAAATGGATACCATTGAAACGTTACACATGGTTGGTTGCCATCTCACTTTGAGGTATTACAGTATTTTGTGCTGAACTATCGTTTCCCTTATATTTACTTTTTAATTAAGTAATCGATTTTTTTCTTTTTATATTCATTTTCTTCTTTCCTTGGCCTTTAATCATTCCTTTTTGTGATTGATTTACTCCAAATCAGTCTCGTGGGTTGGAAACTGGAAGATAACCAGAAGTTAGAACCTCCCCAGAAAGTAGGACCTTTCGGTTTACAAAGCTTAAAACAGTCATTCTGACTCTTAAAACCCCCGTGGAATAAGTGATAATGATTCCCAAAATCCTTTGAGGAAATGAAAACGTGTCAGTCAACGGCATTTCTGTGAGGATTATGGATTTGCTGTGAATGCAGTTTTCTAAAAATAGGTGAACACCTTGTTGTATTGCAAAGAAAAACATCATTTATAATTAAGTGCTGTACCAAATGTTACGGCTAAAAGATAACATTGTAACTAGTAACCATAGAGCAATTATCAAGATTAGAAAAAAATAAACCTAAAGCAAATTAAATTAAAGATATTACCCTAGTAATGCATCTTTGGAGCGCTGCCAGTTTCCTACCCTTTTAACTGAGCTCAAGTTAATTAAATGTTTTAAAAAATTGGCCTTTTGGCATATTCATCTTTGCAAACAAAATATTCTTACGCTACGAATAGTGTAGATTAAAAAGTTAGTCGATACAAAAAAGAGAAGTTGTGCCCATGAAACCACTCGGGTTTACCTGTATCGTGTATTCTCCATATAGACCAATATGCTGTAAATGTCAAATTTTATTTCTATTGATCCTTTGCTAGGAATGCATCTGATCGATCTCCCCGGTTATAAATTCCAAATAAATCCATGAAAGTAAACTTGTAAGGACAGAGAGGGTGGGAACCTTACTGTATTTGTGGAGGGAGGTATATACGTGTTTAAAAATATGTTGGTGCGCAAGAGGGGATGCATATATGTGGGGAGGGGAGCAAAGTAGGGTCAGGCCTGTCCTTAAAACCCCATTGATTCTAAGCAACGGGAATTTCTGATTGTTGTATTTAGTGAAAAGATCCCCTTGATTGGGTAGCACTATAACGATAATCAGTTTCCTTTAAAATACGGCAAGAAAAGGTGGTCTCTCTCCTGCACCGTAGCATAAATGTGAGTTTCAGATAAAGCTTGAAGTGTGTTCCCTGCACTAATTTGGTCCAGTGTCCTAGAGAGAGGGTAAAACGTGCAAGCGCTCTTGTTCTTAATCCTAGTTATTGGTACGTAATGGGATGTCTGCAAGGAGCAGGTGTAGACTCCTTCACAATTACTGTGTCCACACCCGTCATAAAGACAAGCTGCGGCACAAAGCATGTTGGGGATTTTAACAGAACACTGTAATTTTGAACTAATAATGCTGAAGAAAGGCAGTTTTAACAAGATTAATATAGTGCAATCATTTTAAACTCACCACCACACATCAAATTGTAACCACTGTTTACTGGCCAGTGTTAAAACTGCAACCATTAATGCCTTAAAACCAGGAATTGCTCCTAACATTGCTCATTACTAATAGAAGCAGATTGCTAGGCGAGAGAATGATCCCTATGATTAGTTTCTCAAGGACAGTGGAGTTTGACACGTTTATTGTGACAGCGCCTCCTCGGAGCATCTCTTTGCTCTTTGCACTGTGGCTTCCTTTTCCACCTGTATGCAGCCCCAATTGCTCCTGCTACAGCGGGTGTGCTAAGACGGCTGTTTTCTCGGTGCGCTGTACTTTCTGCAAAGCCAGGCTCTCCTCTTGATACTGAGATGGGATACGACAGCATTCAAGCTTAGTCCTTAAAAATTACATTATTTCAAATTGTCAGCAGTGGAGCTCGAGCGAAGGGCCCGGCTTTTCTGCGTGCTGTCAATAGGCAAGCTTTCTGCTCTGCCAGGATCTCTCTCAGCCCCTGCCGGCTGGAATATGACTCCGCTGCAGGGTTGGTGGGGGTTTTTGAAAGCCATTGTTTTCTACAATGAAGTTTAAATGGTAATTACACACCTATGTCTCAATCCTTGCCAACACTTACATAGATGAAGAGTCCCATTGAAGTCAATTGGATCACGACTGCGCATAAAATGAAGCACATGCCTAAGTGTTTGAAGGATGGGAGACGCAGGGGGTCTGCATCCAGTTCTAAAAGTCATGGCTACCGTTGCGATGCACCTGTTAAAAGTTGTTACTATTTTTCAAGTAATTCAGCAGGTTTCACACTATGCAGTTGGCACAGCCTTGTCACTGCGCAGTGCCGTTGACGCACAGAGGAGCTTTTTTTTCTGTTCTTTCCACAAATCTCGTCCTTTTAGTGCTCCCAAACAGCATGAGCACGTTAACTTTAAAAGCCCATGCACATCCCTGGCTTGGCAAAGGGACTTAAAACTAGTGGGGCTTATCTTAGCATTTGTTTGACCTTTGGAAAGGTATCCGAGGTCTTTTAATTCTGGAGTCAGTCTACGTCACTCTCGATCGCATTTAAAGCAGATTCTGGCCCAAATAGAAAAACCAAATTTCAGTTCGCTTCTCCTAGCAGTCATTTATTTTTCTTCCATGGCTGACAGGTTGACCCTTGACTCCATGCAGTTTGCCAGTATCCTCTTTAATTTACACACTCTAAATAAGTCCTGGTTTGGCTATTTCAGTCCTTTTTTGTATTTCAGTGGAATTGCACCTTGTGCTAATAGCGACCCCCGATCCTGGGTGGTGCTTGGGTAGAGCACCGGCTTCAACAGGATCGAAACACTTCAGCATCCCCTTTGCTCGTGTTCATCACGTGTCAGTTCATGGCAAGCGGGGTCGACTGCACCAGAGCAGCGGGGCCGGATTAATGCATCGGTAAACTAGGCACATGCCTAGGACCTTAAGTGAAGAAGGGGCCCAGTTGTGCTTATTTTACATCTTATCATTATTGAGCGAAAAAAAGTAATATAAAAATGTCATCTTCAGCTGGGAGCCCATGAGTTTGTTTGCCTAGGTCCCCACTAACGGGTTAATCCAGCCCAGTAGCGCGGCTCTAAGCAGCAGATAAAGGCCTGCACAGGAAGGCCCCTGAGCTCAGTAGACGGTATCGTTGTAATGATATAGGGAGGTGGACAATAGACACCGTAAAGAAATCCACTAGATTGAGGGATGTTTGCATTTCCTTCACATCCGGTTGTGCTGATTTTTCTTTTTCTCTGTTCTGTGTGTTCTCTTTATCCTTTCTAGAGTATATCTGGATGTCCAGGCAAGACAGGGCGAAGTTTCTGAATGGTCCCATGTTTAGGTGATATCATCAGACTTTGAGCACTACATCATCACCAATAACATACACAAACTGGAGGTGGCACTCTACGGACTTAGGTTGTTTAAAAATCTCTCATCATCTCATGAATCTGCTGTACTATACAAACAGCTTTTAAAACATGTATATATAATCCATTTCTCTTTTGTTTTATTTTCTGGATGGGTTTTCTCCCCCCCTTCCCTCCTCCCCCCCCCCCCCTTTTAAATCGATTTGAATCACGTTTTGTTTTCATAGCATTTTGACATAGTCTCGTAGTCACGTAGATCTATTCTTTGTGTATCTAGTAAAAAGCCTAACCATACTATAACTAACTGTTTATATTAAGGGTTTTCTTTTTGTTTTCCCTCCTTTTGATTTTTTTTTTCCTTCCCTTTTGTTTTATGTAGTTGTTGCTTAAAGGATGCTGAGACGATAACGTGATTCTCAGTCTTTTGGTACCAATTCTGAAACTGTAAAAACTCTTCAGGTGGAATTTTAGCGCACACTGAATTGTAGGTAGAGCAAGTGCAGCAGGTGGGCTGAAGTCAAGTCTCTCGTTTGTGTTGTCTGGGAGCTGAGAGTGTAGTGGCGTAGCAGGTCTTTTCATTTGTGATGTCTCTGTTAACCTAATTCTATCTATTTTCGGCAATAAGGTAAGGACTCCAAAAGTTTTGCGTGTCCTTTTTTCTATAAGTGCTTTTTTTTGTTGAAAGAGGTGATATAAGGTTTTTTGAACTTGTGAATCCTGAAAAAAAAAAAAAAATGACTGTAAATACAATTCCATTAACTACATATAAACTATTAAGAAAGAGAAATACAAACTATTTTTGTGATGGAGTCGGTCTTAGGCAGTTTCTCTACTGAATGGAAAAAAAAATAAAAATTAAGTTTTAAACTTCTAGATCAACTGCCAGAGCTGGCCCATAAGAGTTAGATTAACACTGTTTAGCTTGCTCTGTAGGTGTGTTAGACCTTCTAACTGTACTAGCGTCATACCAGCATATTAACTAGTCATATGTGCACAGCTTAAAAATTAACAGTCTAGTTATATTTTTTAATTTAACAACTGCTTTTTCCCAAGACTGAAAAAGAAGCTACAATTTTACTATTTAACGTATTTAACGTTCGAAGCACACCTTTTTTAGTTGTTGTTTTAAATTAGATCAACTTGCTGTCCAGTCATTTCAGCTGCTCGATATGTCCTACAAAGCTTGACAGAGAAGAGGTTTCTCTTCCTCATTTCACGTGCTGTAGGGAGAGCGGTTTTAAAGCTTTGCATTATTACCTTTTTATCCATTATTTTCTATATTAACGAATTAGGAAAGCAACCTTTTTTTTTTTTTGGGAATACCTCAGTGCTACAAGTATCACCCTAGAAGTGACAGAAGATTTTAATTTATTGTAGATGTAAACAGAATTAAAAAAAAAAATAAAAAAAAGTATAAAACATCATTGCACTGTGACTGGTGGGGCGAAAACTGACAGTTTCCTATTTGCACATGTTTAATATTTGGCTGTTATATATATGGTCCTCTGTTGGGGGAGGAAACTTATGAAGGATATTTTTTAATTTAATTTTTTTAATATTGGTAAATAGGCCTGCAACAGCAAAATAGAAGTACAACATGGTAGGTGGCATTAAGAACATACTGTAGTGTGGATATATTTCTTCTTTTTTTAACGTAATATTGACAAGTTTTATTAATATTTTTTTAAATTGTTACGTTTATAAATTTGGTACTTTAGGTACAGCCAGTATAAGACACTGAATGCGACATTTGTTAAAAAGAGCTGCTGCACTCTTATTTTTGTAAATTTTACTAACAAGTAGACTAATGTAGACGTTCAATAGACAAGGTAGAGCAAGGCATCTTTAACAAAAAAAACACAAAAAACAAAAACCAGGCACCATACTGCTAACGGAAAGGAAAACACCTTGTTTTTCTTGTTTTTAAAAACATGCTTTTTTGTGTAATATTTTAGGTTTTGGGTTTGGTTTTTTTTTTTTTTTTCTTATTTCAGAACAACCAGGTTTAAGCAAAATGCTGGACGCTTTTTAAATATTGAGACTTGATCAAGTAATAATAAAAAATAAAAATAAAACAATTCTTTAAAAAATAAAAATTAAAAAAAAAACACACACACAAACAGCAAACCAAATTCCCTGCGAGTCAATGTATAAGTCAGGGAATTTTTTATTAATATTTTGTCAATGTTGATGACGTACTGTACTACCATTTGTTTTTCCTCTCCATTCCCTATCACCTCACAGAATATTCTTTGTTGATCATTGTTGTATGTTAATAGTGTATAAAATGGCTATCTTGTAAGAGTGCTGTCCTGATGCTAGTGTAGTGAAGTTCCCCCTCTCCTCTTTCTCTCTCTTTCTCTTCCTCTTCTAGTACATATTGGTAGGTATATCGTAATTAAGGTTAAAAATTTAGATGTAGTTATTCAGATTTAGGACCAGTAAGGATAGAACTTTCTCTTATTTAAGAAAAAAAAATGCTAATGATTTTTGGGCAGTTTTTCCTTTTGTTTCTTTCTTTGTTTTTTTTTTTTTCCTCTTTTTTAATTTTTAATTTAATTTTATTTTTTGCTGATCTGATGTGGTTTCAACTAACCAAAGGTCTCACAATGTTAAAAATGCTGGCAAACTCTTAAGGCATTTTGTAGATCCCCACCCTTGACTTTAAAGAGGGGGTGTGCCATACTACCTTAAATGCTAACGCTAGATATGCAAAACTGGATTTTTTTAATTTATTTTTTAAAAGAGGGAGGCATGGTATATTAAAATGATTTTACTAAGAGAAAAAAAAATATTTTTTTAAGAATGCTCAGAAGAAATTGATAATCTGTGTGAATATGTTTTAGATGTTTATATACCTTTTGAAAAGTCCCAGTGGCCCATAGCACAAATATTGTGGAACCTGATATGTTTTTGATGTGGCTACCTAGACTAAGGTTCACTTTAGTCCCCCACTCATCTAGAAGTCCATCTCAAAGGATTTGATTTGATTTGTAAATTCCTTTTTTAGCACAAAGGATGCAGCTACATCTTTATTTTAGTCAAGCATCGCGACAACGGGTCTCGCCCTTTTGTTTCAAAATCCCCCCGTTTAGAACAGTGATAAACCCCTCCCCGACCGATGACCGACCCCTCCTCTGGACTTACTGGAACGAAATCCCTGCCTAGTTGTGCAAACGGGCAACAAAAGCAAAATACCTCCAGCTGTGTCTCGTTTAATGTGGAGCTCCATAAAGTGGGACCACCCCCAACTGGATCATCCCAGCTAGACAAAGCCTTGGCTGGGATGATGTAGTTGGGGCTGGTCCTGCTTTGAGCAGGGGGCTGGACTAGATGTGACCTCCTGAGGTCCCTTCCAACCCTCATTGTCTATGATTCAAAGGTCCATCACTTAACGTGGAGGCAGGCCCATAACGGCACGTGGCTATGCCACGTGCACCTGGTAGCTTTGGGTGACTCTGTTGATGCAACGGGCCTGCTTATATCCATCATCCCCGTGGCACTTTTGGAAGGAAGTGCCGTATCCAGGATAATCAGGAGTGTAATGACCCTCTTTCCCCAACTCCCCCTCCAAAACAAATTTGATTAGTGATTGGCTTGATTAAAATGAAGACCGATCTGTCCTTTTTTTTTTTTTTTTTGGTTTTGTTTTGGTTTTATACTTCATAACGTTCATTTTAATTTGAATTTGTAGCTTGGACTTTAAGGTAGCATGGCTCTGTTGCTGTAATTTTTTTTTCATTGTACAGCAGTATACAGCTGGTGAATGTTACACATCTTGCTAGACTAGTTAAATCATTGGGTAATTGTTGGTAATAATGACCTGAAAGGTGTTCAGATTTTTTTTTCCCCCTTCCCTCCCAGCTATAAAACCTATAATGCTATTTTGATCTTTAGTGTGAATGAGGGCTAGTGACTTAAGCCACAGATCCCTTTCTGTTTCATTTTGCCATTCATTCAGTGCAACATAATCAATAATAAAGCAATATAGTTTACTACATTCTTACTGAAGGTCAGCCATGGTTATATATGATATTGCATATGAAACTGTTTACAAACACTAACTCGTAGCTATCGTATGCTGTGGAAATGTTTCTCGAGTGGAACTTTTTTGGATTTTTTTTTTCTCGTTTTGTTTTTTTGTTTTTATTTTTGTGTGTTTTTTTAAGACGCAAAATGGTTGAAACAGAAACTGGAGGTTGGTGTAAGTTTGGGAGACAGAGTGCATTGAAGACACACTGGCAGATTCTGTGGTCTGCGTACATACACTGTAGAGTTTCATAAGTACAGAATCGAATTCAAACCCATTTCTGTGTGCGGACACTACATGAGGAGATTCTGTAACTAAGCAATACTTTAATACTGTAATAAAATTTACCAAAAAGCGAAATAAGTCGTTGAAATAAGTAAATCTTAAGTGATCTGTCTGCAAGTTACCAAACAATCGGAATGTATTGTCTTGACAGAATTTCATTTCAGATCAGTGTAAAATCAAAGCGAAAAGGCTTTGACCAAAAGCTGGAGTCACCCATGCTATAATGCTGTATTCTGTACATACTCCAACACCACGTGTGGGATCTCTGTGTGTCATTAGGACTATAGTGGGTAGCAAATATAATTCATTATATGTCTGAATTCCATCAGTAATCGAATGCGAGTCTAAGCATTTCAGGTGGTCATAAATGTACCTAAAGAGTGGCAGGCCTAGCCCTTCCTTTTATACTTTAGTATGAACTGATGAGAACTTTGGTAGTGACCTTTTTTTTTATATATATACATATATATGTATCTATATATATCAAGCATCTTTCAGGTCTCTGTGTATGGCTTTCTAAAGCCCTGTTGTAAAATACTATGTGGATGGGGGTCTCTCACATCACAGATGTGGAAAGTATAATTTTATATTTGTATTTTCAAATAAATAAGTTTGTGAAAGGTTTCCATCCTCTACTGTGGTCCAGAAATCAATGTGTTTGTCTGACAAAAAATAAAATAAACTGTTTTGAACAGACTGGTGGCGTCCGCTTCATTACCAGCGTGGTCAGGGCGGTGCTTTCGGACCGAGCGGACCCACCGCACTCCTGTTTGCCCCTCTTCCCCTCTGTTCTTACCGTAGCTTGGCCACGCTCTTCACGGATGCTGGAAGCAGAGAGGCACGTGCCTACTCTACTGGGGTTTTTTCCTACTGTGACTAGCTGCAACAATGGGCACAAGAGTGAGAGCTCACCAAGATGACCACCTTCATGGCACGTAAGTTCACGTCCCTTCCCTGGCAGACAAAGGCAAAGCAGCTTTGTATGATATTAGGAAACGCCGATGCCTTTTGTATCGAACAGGCTTAATCAAAGGGGAGCTGCAGTCACTGGTTTGCAGGATTACCAGTGCTCCTTCCTGGGGGCAGCCTGGTCATGTGCCTGAGTTGCAGGCCAGGGTAGATCTGCATGTATCTACAGTTTTACCTTTGGGTGCCAGATCTTCCAGGCAGCTGGGTACAGTGGGAACCATTAAAAGAAAGTGACATTTTGCAGCCTGCTAGAATGCAAAAGGCATGAAATGCCGTGCGAAACGCAACAGGCCACCGTGCAGTGAGCATCTGCTTTTAATAGGTCTCCTTGCCCACAAAAATGTACTACCAAAGACAACATACCCAGCTCTTTAAATTCAAGCTGGTGGCAGGGGAGAAAGGGGAAGGGAAGCAAAAAAAAAAGTTGTCCTGATAAGACAGTTTTTAAGCACTAATTTTATCCTCAGGTCCCCCTTAAGTAAAAATGACCACATGTGACTAAGGGCAAAGGACAGTATTTAAGCAATGCTATGGGACAGCAGGTTGCCTCAGGTTTATCTGGCTCTACCAGAACTGCAAGGCCACCTTTGCCAGAGCCATTGCATGTCCGTTCCTAAGACTTTATTGTAGGGGTTTCACAGTGAAAGGGGTTGGGGGTACTAATCCCATCCTGCAGAGCGAGGATTGATGTCTCAGTCGAAGACATCAGTTGGGAGGTAAGACTGAAGCCCAGGGAGGCTTTGCTGATGGTGCGGTAAAAATTCAGCGTGCAGGCTTCAGACACGCACGTAAGTACCTGGGGTCCCAGGCTGGTTTGTCCTCACTGCTATCGCCTGCGTGGCTAGATTCAAGCTAGCAATCGCCCTTCCAAATGGCAGGACTGAAGAAGGGCTCAGCCACGCAATCTATTTACATCAGTGTTAGCAACGTGCGCACACCGCGTACACGTGATTCTGGTGTAGAATCAATAATGGCAAAATCTGGGGGTAAATCTAAGTGACACTGGAGGAAGGAGCTAGCCTTGCAAATAGGCTATTACCTGATGCCTGCCACTTAGTGGAAAGACTTTGTAATAAACACCCTATCCTGGCATTGTTACACTGGGTCCCACTGTACAAAATCCATGTAACTGCATGGTGGGTTCAGCCTCATTTCACTTGACCTGCCTGAAAAGTCAACTGCAGTTTGCAATCTGACTTACCTTCAAGAAGCAGGAGTCCCAGGTTCTAGGCCATCTCACCAAGGGGAGATTTGATCCCTGCATCTCTCTGATTTCCTAGCACAATTCATCAGGCCACCGATGAGGTATTAAGCAGCCTTCTTTCCAGCCCTCCTGGTTGAAGCTGGGCCTCTGGGAAACCAAGAACAAGAGATGCATGGGGCCAGGAAGAAAAGCACAAGCTGGGGAAATGTATGGCTCAGACAGATGGCTACTACTGTAGAAAGGTGTCCCTGACTCTAGTTCCTATTTGGGCAAACACTTCCCTCCTGTCTTCCATTTATTCTATTAAATGCAAGGTGCAGTGGGCAAGAGAGAGAGAGGTCTATCGGCAGTATACAAAGATAGAAAGATCTCTTTCTAACTACAGTCAGGGCTAGAGAAGAGATACAGGACTAGACAGAAGTAGCATGAGATCTCTAGCCAGGGGCTGGGATCTCTATTTATCAGAAGAGCTAGGAAGTTCCCTCTATATACAGGGAGGGAGAGAGAGAGATTTAGGTTAAGATACCAGCAAGATAAAGAAAAAGAAATGTCTACAGCTGGGGATGTAGTGACTACAAGGGATGAGGACACAGGAAGGAAACAGAAGGCACGTGAAAGACAACGCAGGAGAAAACAAACCATGATTTATCAGGGGGAAGTGTGCTTGCAGTGCAGAAAAAACAATGACAAGCATAAATGCAAGAGTGAAATAAGTCTGGGGTTTTTTGTACATGTTTAATACAGAAACTCAATTGATGCTACAATTGCATGCACTTCCTTGGAACCTGAATATGGCTTTGCTGGTCCTTTACATTGAAGGGAAAGCAGCAGCACATATATTTTTCACCCTTGCTCATGAGCCCAAGGAAAATTGTTCATGTCTTACCTGAGAAGTTTTTCTAAGTGGAGCCATGTGCCCTTGTGCGAGCAAATGACTGTCTCACACACCTGGCGACACAGCCTTTACTGGCTCACCCGACAGTGTGGTCACAACTGCACTACTAATTGAGATCTGCCAGCGAACACTTGCCTTAGGCGACTGAAAGGTGTTTCATATCCTGAGCAGTGCCAGCCAATGGCAGTAGGGTGGTCTCAATGCCTGATACATGCAGCACAATTGGCGTCAAGACTCTGGAGACAGACGTGGCAAAGCTGCAGATAAGTGGCCGATATAACCTTCCATCTCGGCTCAGAAAAATTGCTGATAAGTGTCAGCTCCAGTTCGGCTGAGCGCTGTTTTAAGAGAGAGGAGAAATAAAAAAAATGTTCACCAGGACTCAGCCTTGTGATGGCTTACGGAGCACATACACACCTCTTCCAAACCCTTAACTCAGCCAAACTGTCTGGGACCCAGTGCTGACACAGCTTATCAGCAACACCTAATTTTCTAATCAGGCCAAAGAGACTCAAAACAGTTTCTAAATCAAGACATTTCAAGGGGGGAAGGGGGGGAAGTGATGGTATTTTTGTGCTAGAGCTAAAAAAAAACAAGGAAAAAAAAAAGCGGCCGACTCCTTGTACAGCTAACAGAGTTTAGCAGGACATTTCCACTGGGCTTTAACAGCAGTTGCTATCGACCTGCTAAAAAGTAACACACGCACTCCGGCATAGTTGGCCATGTCCAAAAGTCAAGTCGGAATATGAACAGCGATCCTAATGCAAGTACTAACAAGCAGAGCTACGAAGATCAATAAAAGAACAATGAAGGGCATTTAAAAGGTGATGAGTCTCACAGCCTCTTTTAATAAAGCTACTTAGCATTACCACCCGCTGTAACCTGTTCAAGTCGTCGCTGTCTTCTTTGCATGCCCTTATCATAAACTAGATGGTTTGCCATAATCGTGTGTAAGAGAGGGCTCCTTCCGTTGCTGCAGCGAGGCAGGTCCCACCAAGGAGTCAGCAAACGAGCAGGTGCTCCGTGCTCTGCGTTTCACCACACTGGTATATATTCCTGTCATTAGAGTAGCCCCAGTTAATCAGGTTTCTTTTGGATCTTCCAGTTTGAGCAGCGGCAGCCAAAATACAGCCTGCGGGCTGGATCTGGCCCACCAAGCTTTACTATCTGTCCCGTGGAGCCCCTAAAAAATTAGAAAATTAATATTTAGCTGTTCCTGGCTGCCTATCAAAAATAACAGGAATCAAGGGCAATAGGACCCAGGGGAAGCCAGGAGGACTCACCAGGAAGGCCCCGCCCCACCCCCACACCTCACACCCAGAAGTCTCTGCCTGCCACAGTTTTCACTGCTTCCCTGCACACGGCTGCCTCCAGCACCATGTGGCCCTGCTACACCACAGGACCCTGGTTACCCTGGGGCTAGGAGTGGGAGGATGTGTGTGTGTCTGTACCCATGCAAGGAGGGAGGGGGAAAGCGAGAGAATGTGTACATGTGCAGAGACAGGCACTCTGTGTGTGTGTGTGTGTGGGCACATGCGCACACGTGTGCAGAGACAGGCACAGTGTGTGTGTGCACGCACACGTGAAAAGACAGGCACACTGTACGTGCATGCGTGCGTGCAGAGGCAGGCACACTGTGCACATGCAAAGACAGTCACACTGTGTGCGCATAGAGGCAGACGCTGTAAGTGCAGAGACAGGCACACTGTGTGTGTGTGTGTGTGCGTGCGCATACATGCGTGTGCAGAGACAAGCACACTGTGTGTGCATGCATGTGCACAGAGACAGGCTCACTATGTGGGCGTGTGCAGAGACAGGCACACAGTGTGGGGGTGTGCGCAGAGGCAGGCACGTGTGTGCGTGTGTGCGCGCACAGACAGTGTGCAGTTGCAAAGACAGGCACACTGTGCCAAGAAAGGCACTGTGTGTGCAGAGAAAGGCACACTGTGTGCGCATGCAGAGGAAGGCACAGAGTGAGTGTGTGTGTGTGTGTGTACGCACAGAGACAGATACTGTGTGTGCAGAGACAGGCACACTCTGTGTGTACGCACAGAGACAGGCACACACTGTGTGCGCAATGATAAGCATGGCCTGTGCGTGCTGAGACAGGTACGTTTTTTGTGTGTGTGTGTGTGTGTGTGTGTGTGTGTGCAGTCAGGCACACTGCGCACGCACAGAGACACTATGCATGTGTATGTATGAGATAGGCACAGTGTGTGTGCATGCAGAGACAGATATACTGTGCGTGTGTGTGTGTGTGCACACGCGCAGAGACAGGCACGCACACTGTGTGTGCAATGATAGGCACGCTCTGTGTGTGTGTGTGCTGAGACAGGCACGTTATGTGCGTGTTCGCATGCGTGCACATGTGTGCAGAGTCAAGCACACTGCGCATGTGCACAGAGACGCTGTGCATGTGTACGTGTGAGATAGGCACAGTGTGTGTGTGCGCGCGCGCAGAGACAGGTATACTCTGGGTGGGTGGGTGTGTGCAGCGCCAGGCACACTGCATGCACGTGTGCACAGAGGCAGACACTGTATGTGTAGAGACGGGCACACTGTGTGCATGCACAGAGACAAGCACACTGCATACACACATGCACACAGACAGATGCACAGTGTGTGCGCAGAGGCATACTGTGT